TGAGCTGGGATGGCGGGAAGAACTCGCGAATGGCGAAGCGCGGCTGAGACGAGGTGAACGGCGCGAGGTCGTGTGCTCGCCGGCTGATAGGGCTTCGCCGGACGTTGGCCAGAAGAGATGGCCGGATTTCTTGTGATGTGAAGAGTGAAAATAAGGATGAAGATGGAGATAAAGGTGTATTTATAGTGGGTAGGAATAGTTAGGGTTTCTTGTGGTTGGGCTTTAATTGGGCTAGAAAATTTAATAACATTCACACTTTAACATCGGATTATGTCTTGGGACGGTAAATTAAATACTACTCGGTTAAAATAAGTCTATTGGAACTTGAATTAAATAAATTAGTCGGTCGAATTTACTAGAATAATTTGGTTCGAATTTAAAAATCGACATAAGTTCGATTTTTAAAATGGACTAAAATAAAATCGGACATGGACTCGATTTACTAAAATAAAATAGGCCGAAATAAAATCGAGCATATGCTCGATTAACTTAAATGAGCTGGCTAAAATAATTGGACTCGTTCGAAAATGATTTGGCTCGAATAAATTAAATATTCAGGCTTGGGTCCGCTTAAATAAAATTTCGATCATTTCAAGGCTCGGTTTTAAAAATATAACCGATACTTGGGCTAAATAAATTCGACTTCAATACTTAAAATCGAATAAATTCTCCATGGCTTAGACGTTAATACTAATTAATCAATTTAATACAAATTATAATAATAAATGCATCAATTAGGAAACTGGCTATTTATGTAAATAAAATCGAACTCCATAAATAGTAACTAATATTCTGGGCGTTATACAATTGTATGCAACGGGTCGAGAAAAAATGTTCACAAAAATGTAACCGCCCGTATGATTCAAAATCTTGTAATTCATAAGATTGAAAAGCAACTGGAATACAGTGTTAGCATGATCCAGGCAGATGTAAAACATTGTTGAAAAGTTGATGTCAGTTATAAGAAAGCATGTCACGGAAGGAAAAAAGTCATCGATCGTGTGTATGGAAGTTGGGAATCGAACTTCGCAAAACTCCCTCAGTAAGCAAAAATTAATTACAAATATATTGTGTTGTTTGTCAATATGTTTATCTATTTATGAAACCGTTTTGTAATGTGCAGGTGTTTTGCTGCGCTTCAAAGAGCGAATTCCACCACAATTGTACAGTGGGAATGACATGGTGGGGAAATGACGCATCAATATCGAGACAAGCAATTCAAATTTGTATTATGGGCATTTGGTCCCGCCATTCAAACCTTCCAACTACGCCCGCTGGTTATTAGCATCGATGACACAGATTTGCGTGGATCGTACAAGGAAAAATTGCTTCTGGCCATTGCACAGACTCCGATTAAGCGGCTATTGCCAATTGCCTATGCGATTGTTGATGAAGAAAGCAAGGATAGTTGGTCATTTTTCCTAACAAATCTGCGGCAATATGTTGTCTTCGACAGAAAGATTCGCGTTCTTTTCGAAAGAGATAACGACATACTCAGTGCTATTGAACCGTTAGAAGATTGGCAAGAACCCGTTGCATATCACCGGGTTTGTCTTCGACACCTTCGAAGCAACGTGGTCACTAAATTTAGGAGCAATAAAATCCAGAATTGGTGTTGGGATTTGGGTTCACAGTTGTCGGAGCGCAAAAGTTCAACAGACAAAAGAGCGACTCAATGAATTTAATTCCAACCCACACCAGTATCTTTTCGAAATTCCTTTGAACAAGTGGACCCTCTTTGGAGATGAAGGACATAGATGGGACACATTGACAACCAATATGTCGGAGAGTTACAGCAACGTCTTGAAAGGTGTTAAGTTCATGCCTTGCAGAGCTTTGGTACACGCCACATTTAACGAAACTCTGGATTTGTTCGAACACGGACAAAAGAAGTCTACAAGATGCAGGAGTGTCATTACTACTGAGCACTATGCCGCCTATTTGGAATTGGAGCATACAGCCGCAACTCATACTGTGTGATGTACGAACGCTGACAGGTTCAGGTACATGGTGATAACCGATCTACGGGCTAGTGGAAGAGGGAAAAACAGGTATATGGTTTTTTTTTGTCCATTCAAATTTTTGGTTTTTTATATATATAAATCACTGTTTGTGTGTTTGTGTTAACATTTATAAAGTTGATTACCACCGAAAACGTGGCAGTTGTCGGAAGTGGCAAACACATAGGAAACCATATTCTCATGCAATAGCCGCCTGTCGTGAGATTGGGGATCAACCAAAGTCATTGTACGATTCGCACTTTTGGACGGATACCTGGGTAGCTCAATTTACTGATTGAAGTTTTGCTCTAATTGGTAATCAGGATACATGGGCGCCGGTCGAATGAAATTTGATACCACATTGGGAGAGGATCATCTTGAAGCGTGGACCTGGTCGCAAGCAAACGAGACGCTATCGCATGCAAATGGATCGTCGGGCACGCTACAGAAATGATAGGGGACAGTGTACGAGATGTGGTAATCCAGATCATGTTGTGGATGAGTGTCCGTCCTTACATCCTCCCACCGATAGAACCAGACTGCGTGATGTGTGGGGAAACTAGATTTGTTAGAATTTGTTTGGATTTATTGTTATTTGGATTTGTTTGGATTTGTTTATTTTTGATTTGTTTGGATGGTTTATTTAAATTTGTTTGGATGATTTATTTAAAACCCTTGATGTGCTATTTAAGGTAGATTGGTTGATTTGTTAGTATATTTTTGGCTTAATTGGTTGTTTTGAATATTTAAAACATTTTTTCCAAGTTAAACAATTGAAAAAACTACTATATATATAAGCCCAACTCTTCCTGTGCAACTGCCCAAAATGGAAACAGAAGAAAACAAAAATACACCCATAATTGAAAAAAAAACCCGCAAATTTGTATTTGCAACCGAGCCTCACAAGCCACATCCAATTACCACAAGCCGATGGCCTTCCACCAGATGCCTCCGACCCCAATCCAGATCACAAGATTGACAATAGAGATCAAGAATCCATAGCCCCACCATTTTGCTAGAGGCACATAGCCGGCCCCGTAAAAAACCGGGGCCGACCCGATCCCATAGTGAGTAATGCCGCCCATGAGATTCGAAACAAAGGAGAGAACACAAGCTGCCAGGTAAGATGGAGTGCCCAGTGCACTTGCCACCGACAAGAATGCCGTGAACATTGCACCAATGTGCGCGGCCCCACTTGCGAAGAAATAGTGCGAGTAAAAGTAGAGAAGAACAAGAATGCCGAACGATAGCTGCCACGAGAGGCCCAATCCACCAACAAACTGGAAATGGGAAAAAAAAAAGAAGTAACATTAATATAGGAACTATGCTAAGAAAAAATCTATATGCTTTACATTCGAGTCGAACACTAGTTCTAAGCTCCCAGTCCCATGTGAAAATTAACCGACCAATGTGATAATATTGCATGCTTTTGGAGGTGAATATACCTTTACGACTGTTTGGCTGAACCAGGAAATGAGACCGTATTTGTTGAGGTACCCAGCCATTGCAATAAGTGCGGCAAACCAAGTAAGGGTGTCCCAAGCAACAGATTCGGAAAGACACTCTTTCCATGTGACCACACCACTTATAAGGAGAACAGACAATCCAAGAATGGCTGCTGTAACTGCATCCACACTCAAGAAACTCCCGAAAACCCAGAGCCCCACCTGATTAAAATAATTCAAAACGAGAAAATTCATTAGACTGGTAAATAGGAAAAGCTAATAGGCATATCTATGACAGTGCAATGAACATTTTTTTTTTTTTTTAATCTGAATTCAGTCAAATAGGATGAGATGTATACGCTGAAATTTGTACAGGAAACTGGCGCTGCTAGTTAATTAACTATTTTAAAGGCTCTCGTAAATTATGAAAGCAAGAATCACTCGAAGTATCTAATGAACAAGTTCTAGTCTAGAATTTATATGAGTACAGCTTGTGCTGACAATATCAGGATTAGAAGATTTCAAATCATACACCAATAACATACACTATAAAACTCCATTTCCACAATTGTATGAGCAAGAAGTCAATTTCAATCAATTTAACAGAGTAACTGAAAAATCAAGACAGAGTCTCGAGTATCTATACCGTGAGAAGCAAAGTTCCAGACATGATGATCTCCTCCTTCGACATGGGCCCCATCTTCTCCAGCTTCTCCCTAGCTAACTTGGGCGCATCCGGGCTACTCTTAACAGTAGGCGGATAGATTAGATACAACAAAAATGGGACCACGATCAAAGAAACTAGTCCCGGCACAACTGCAGCCTTAGCCCAATCTACCCATCCAATAGGCATATTTATGGTGCTCAAAGTCAGATTAGCCGCCAGGGGATTAGCGGCCATAGCCGTCAAGAACATTGAAGACGAGATCACAGACGTTTGGAAGCAGGTTAGCATCAGCCAGGAGCCCAGCCTGCTTTCTGTCCCGTCCCCGACGTTACTACCACAGGCAACACAAAGGGATTTCACCAGCGGCAGGAAAATTCCGCCGGCTCTGGCGGAGACTGAAGGGATGGCCGGCGCCAGAAGGGCCTCGCTGAAAACGAGACTGTAACCTAATCCCAAGGACGAGCTCCCGAACAGGGATACGAATTGGTAGGCGATTCTGTTGCCCAGCCCGGTCTTGATAAATCCCCGAGCGAAGAAGAAGGCAAGCGCGATCAGCCAGGGGATCGGGTCCCCAAAGGCAGAGAAAGCTGCGGCGAAGGTTAGGGTTTTGGTGAGGACGCATGCGCCGAGGCCCAGCAGGGCGACGGCGCCGAGCGGCAGCGGCTGGGTGATGATCCCGACGATGGTGGCCAGGAAGATGGCGAGCAGCTGCCAGGCGACGCGGGAGACGCCGTCAGGGGCGGGCACGAACCAGAGGATGACCCCCGTCGCGATGGAGGCCGCGAGGGGTTTCATGGCGGCTCCCTGCCACGGCTGAGGCTGAGGAGCAGACGGGGCTGCCGCCGAGGCCGAGGCGACTGTGGTAGAGCGGCGGATCGCGGAGGCGCCGGAGAGCAGTTTCTGTCTAAGGGAAAAGAAAGCAGCAGCATTCCCTCCACGTGGGTTGTCGGAGTTTCTGAGGCTGTTGTTGGCCAGACATCGGAATTTATAGGTGAGGTGGAGGGATTTGGGGGCGGCGGGTGGCCGCCGGGGATTTGGGGAGGATAGTGGCCGGAATCGGAGGTTAACGGAGGGGGCGAGGGCCAAGAACGCCATCGTTTTGATGGCGTTTGGAGGTGGTGAAGGGGCGGAGTTTCAATGTGAGAGAGAGTGGAATTATGAGAGTACAGTTGAGTGAGGAGCTGATTGAGTGTTAATGGAGGTAAAGGAGAGTGAATGTGAGCCGTTGGATTTCCGATCGGAGGGTGATAATGGAGTTTAGATTATACGGTGTTGAAAGAGTCCAAGCTGGAGCTCGTTTGTTAGAGATTTGGCATATCTCCACATCAGCTTTCTGTTCAAATATTTATGGCCTCAACTGAATAAGCTCTTCATGCTAACTTATACCGTTGACAACACTAACCTTCGTGATGTTTTTTTTAACAAACTAAGCCGAGCTTGGCTCGTTGAGTGAACCATCTTTTAATGAACAGAATTGAGTTTACGAGCGATTCGTTTCATTGAACAGGTTTTGTGCACACGCTATGTGTATATGTTGATTCAAATATGAACATTGTGGGTACATGGTGAAATTCACCAATTTGAGCTAATATTTGATTGAGTTGACTGATAACTTTTTTTTTGAGAAAAAGCAATATTTAATTTTTACGAGCTCTATTTCATGTTAAAAGGACGAGTAAGTATTTGTTATGAGGTTTTAAATTTGAAGGCCTAACAAAATCTTGGTAAAATTTAGGAACAAGCCTGGTTTTGTTGATTAATAAAACGAGCATTGTGTTCGGATAAACCACTCGTTAGTCGAATGAGATAAAAAAAAAAGTTTTGTTCGTCTATGTTCGATTGTCATATAGTTGTCAGTGGGTGCTATAGTTACCCATTATTTCACGATTAGAATAATAATTAAAAAAAGTGTAATTACGTAAGATGGCGCTAACAAGAGCCGCGACTCAGATTTTAATTGACAAAGATGGATGGCGGAGATATGTTGAGATGACTCGATCGGAAGTCGATGGGTGGTGACGAAGAAAAAGGTCATGAAATGACGAGAAAGGGCTTGGAAGTATAGAGTCCACAGAAAATGAAGCATTGGCTGTAGATGCAGATGAAATGGGGCGGAGTAAGGACAAAAACGTGAAGCAAAAAATAGTCATGAGATCCATTGAAGTGGGTGGCTATGAGTAGAGAAGGATTTTGTGTTGTGGCTCTCATAAAATGAAATAATGAAATTTTCACTAGTAATGATTGATAATTAAAATTGCTGGCATATAAATATTTATTATTTTAGAAAATATATAATAATGTCTACTTTTTCTGCGTTATCAAATGAGATATATGGGAAATGCTACGGTCTCGTTACGGAACAATTCCGTTGGAGTTTGTAACCGTTAGATCATCATGTAACCGTTGGGAATAGTTGATCTAACGGTTAAAAATCCCGACGATATGATTCTGTAACGAGACCGTAGCATCTTCCAAGATATATAGTCACCAAATAATATTTCTATCTTATACAGTTATACCACATTCGATGAATTTTAGAGAGTATTTTTTTATTAATATTTTCATTTTATTATTTAATCATTTCTATCTTCCTATGCAATTGATATTCTCTCAAGCTAGCTAATTCAATCAAGGACGAGCTAAATATCATATAACTAATATTGTACCCGTGCGCAGCACGACGGGGTCATTTTCTCAAACTTTTTTTTAAACTTTATTTTAAATATTTTTTTATAAATTAATAATTTAATTACAATGGAAAGAGGATAGAGGAATACAAAATATAAACAAAAATCATATATTATTAAAAACTTCTCTATACACAACATTATTGGTTTGATTTTCTTTCAAACCTTCTTCTCCACAAATTAAAATTTTCAGACCCTTTCTGTTAGTAACACGGGAGACAACGACGGCCATGATTAAAAACTGGTTTCTTCAAGAATAAGCCAACATGCGATAATCATTGACCTTGACTCTTGTTTATAGTCATTGCGTACGGAACCATAATGGGGAACTGCCTTCTTTGAAATTTGAATGGTACTCTAACATCAGAAGGAGTTATTTGTCATCCGGGGTATCAAAACTTTATTACCTGCATGATCGCCAGTAAGAATTTTACTCTCGAGAACATGATTGGAGAGTTTAGTCACAACCAATCGTGTACCATTGCAGAGTCCCATTGAGTGATCATGTTCCGCAACAACATAACTGGAGTTCCGACCTTCAAATTCAATTCATGCTTCGGCGTTCCAGAACACTTGATAGTGTTCAAGAACTCAGGAGTATGCAGTTGTGCTAGAAAGTCGGTATTGGAGTCGGATTTACACGTACTGTCTGAACTTAGATACGTGCGTCCCCCAGTCAAATTTAACGACGACATGTATTCATTAATAGATTCTACGATATCGAGTGTTGGCGCAAGTATAGCTCTATCATTCAAGTAACTTGGATCGTCGGCTACATTCTTGAACATCGGAAATGTACTTTCAACAATTTTTGCAATTAGATCATCAGATGACTCTAGTAATAGATCATCTGGTATGTCTATCGGAGAACATCCATCATTTGTACCCCCCAATGTTCCATCTCCAATGCTCGCTATCCAATCAGCAAAAGCATTCAGCTCGTCACGTTCATTCGAATCGCCAATGCTCTGAAGACGCATATTCTTTGTAAGCCTAAGCACAGTACATTCTCCCCAAATGCTACCAGAAGGATTTGTCGAAAGTCTCCACCAAACACAACAATCTTGCCTCCAAACGGTTTATGATGATTTTTCGGGTCGAGGGCTCCCATTACTGCCTTAAAAGATGCTTGAACAGCTTCAAAACAATGCTTATGCATCATTAGGGCCTCATCCCATATGATCAATGAAGAGCGAATAATCAACTCGGCAAGGGGGCTAGCCTGATTGATCTCACACGATGAATTTTCATGCACAGAAATAGGAATGAAAAATCGAGAATGTGCAGTTCGCCCGCCCGACAACAGGAAAGATGCTATTCCACTTGATGCAACATAAAGCACAATTTGACCGTGCGATCTTAGCCGAGCAGCTAAAGTCCTCCACAAGTATGTCTTTCCAGTTCCACCATAACCATACACAAAAAACACGCCGCCCCTACCAGAATGAACATATGTCATTATTTTGGAATAAACACCCTTCTGTTCATCGGTCATATGTGTCAACAATGCATCATGCTCAAGGTTTTAAATAGCGGGCTAAAACATTTATGGCACTGTAGCTATAGCGGAGATTTAGCGGGATTTAGCGGCTAAATTGCACATGAATACAAATAGCGGCACGCTGCCAAAAAAAGCTATTTCTCAAATAGCGGAAACTTTAGCGAGCTATTTATTTCCTTGATCATGCTCAATAGCTAGAGCCTTACGATCATAGGTAAGTACATCTAAAACCAGACGGTTCGCACTTGAATTATTACTACCCATATCTGGAAAAGGCATAGTAGAATAGTCCTTTATTCCAAACCCAACCAAACTCAACCCAACATAATATTTATTTTATATTTATATATATATATATTGAATATTATCTACAATAATTTTTTTTTATTGTTTTAGTTGTGATATGATAAAATTGATAAGTTACGATTAAGAAAAAATAGTGAAAAGATAGAAATTGTAATTATGTTCCAAAATATATCAAGAGTGGTCTCTATTTATAGAAAATGAAAAATAAATTTTTATTTATTTTTTTTATATAAATTAATATCAATAATTTGAGTTACAATTATCTTATTATAGAAAAAATTTATAGACCAATAAGAATGGGACACTTGCCCCATTTCACTCATCTCTTTTCTCTCTCCTTCCTTGTGGCTAGGTTGCGATCCAGGGTCACAATTTGAATTGGGTCACATATTTTGCTATTTTTTTTATTCTTTTATTATTTTTTAGTTGATGACTTAATAAAGATAGTATAATATTTACTTTATTTTTATTTATTTATTTAATAAATATTATCTACAATACATTGTTTGGTATTGGTTTATCTACAACCTAACCAGCATAATAATTTCAATTGTGTTCCAAAACATATCAAGAGTGGTCTCTATTTATAGAGTATGAAAAAATACGAATTGTGATATTTTTTATTTTATTTTTTAAAATAAAATAATATCAATAATTTGAGTCATACTTATCTTATCATATAAAATTTATAGTGGACCAATAAAAATAGGACAAGTGTCCCATTCTTTTTTTTTCCGAAACGATAGATGAACTATTATAAATCAAAAGCGCACAAATGTGCGAATAAAAGTACAAAGCTCCCAACGGGAGAATAAAATGGGAGAACAGGTCAGACACCTGCCTAGATTCCCGCTAGCAACGCTAGAATAAAAACTCGAAACTAAACACACCGACAACACAACCAACTAAACCAACTAAACAACTAAACAAACTAAAGGACCCCAACAGGGTAATATCCGAGTGTCGGCTCCCACCAGGAGAATAAATTGACACTCAGACTCACAGGAGCCAACGGCTCAAACATAAAACACAATCCTACACAAACACTAATACAAGAACAAAAACAAAAACGAAAACAGAGACATTCTCCCCCACCAGATACGACTAGGTGAGTACAGCAGACAAACGAACTCCACAGATAGCCCCAAAGCACGAAAATTGACCGCCCACCACTGCAGAAGGCCTAGCAAGACGGCTATTCGCACCCCAGGACCAAACCACAGAGATGTCCCGCACCCCAATCACGAGAAGAGGCAACACGGCTCAACCCAGCCCAAGGCCGCTGAAACACGACAAGCGGCCAAGCTCAACCGGGAACAACAACGAGACCCCAGCCAACCTCGACCACCCACCGAGAGCTCCCATTTCTAACTCTCCCAGAAGAAACCGAGAGATCCTCCCAGTCACGAACACAATAGAATACCGAGACAAAGCAGCGAAATAGGGGCTTACCTCCAAGAAATCGGAAGCGACCACCGTGAATCGCCGCTGCGCCGGCAAAACGGCACAGTTCCGACCGGGGACAAGCAGAGCGGACAGAGGAGAATCAGCTACCCAAAGGACCAGCAAAGAACCAATTGCATCAATCCCAACCTCGCCCA